AACCCTAAACCCTAAACCGTGCTCCCTCGAGTCGAAGGCCTTCTCTGCCGCCTCCGAGGTCATGGGCTCGAAGGCCGAAGCAATCCTCACAGGGGAAGGACTAGGGTTTTAGGGTTTAGGGTNNGGTTTATTTAGGGTTTATTTAGGGTTTAGGGTCTAGGGTTTAGGTTTTAGGGTTTATTTAGGGTTTAGGGTTTAGGGACCCTCTCAAAGAAAAGGGGCCTGAATGAGTAGAATAGGTTTTGTAGGTATATCATAAAAGGGGCCTGAATGAGTAGAATAGGTTTTTTGGGTATGTCATAAAAGGGGCCTTAATGAGTAGAATAGGTTTTTGGGGTATATCATAACAGGGGCCTTAATGATTAGAATAGGTTTTTTGTGGTATATAATAATAGGGTCGTAAGGATTAGAATAGGTTCTTGGGGTATATCATACTAGAAATATAAGAAGGAAACCCACCAAAATAGTATAGGTAACTACATAAGTAGAAGAGGGTTCCTTGGGCTCCATCGAAGTATAGCTATAATCAGGAACCCTGAATAATAGTTGGGGTTTGGGGCTCCTTCAATTTTTCGTTATTAATAAGGAACCCTAAGGAATAATATGGGTAATTATTACAATAGGGTTTTGGGGCCCCTTATACTATGCTTTTCAATAAGGAACCCCCGAAATAGCATTATCAAGGCCTCTACATCAGTCTTTCTGACTAGGGAGGCCTCGGAGCCTCAAGACTTTAATTGCAGGAGCTTTTTTGGGCCGGAGGCTGCTGTGCTGAGAAGATGTCACCACGCGTTACGGGGTTTAGGGTTTAGGGTTTAGGGGTTTGGGGGTTGAGGGTTTAGGGTTTAGGGTTTAGGGTTTAGGGGTTTAGGGGTTTAGGGGTTGAGGGTTTAGGTTGAGAGCTGCTGGGTCGATTTTGGTTCGTCGACAGAGAGGCACGATTAGTAGGAACTAGTATCATTAATACAAGAACATCATGACTATGCACCGAGCTACAAACCCTAGACTTGAAGCCAACGACTCACAACCTAAGACCCAAGAACCCACAATCCATAACCCACAACCCAATAACTCATAACCCACCCTAACCCCTCAAGTACCTACTATATAGGACCCTAGGGGCTCTAGTACCCTATAAAGTAGGTACCTGGGGGGTTAAGACCACCCCCCAAACCCCAAAACCCAAAAAACACGAATATTCCGCGGAGGGCTCCTGGCCTTGCCAGGCTGGGTCGCGAGGTGGACGGAGGAGGGGTCGGAGGATCCTGCCGAGCAAGACAAGGGGCCTTAAGAATTCGGATACGGTTTTGGGTTTAGGGTTTAGGGTTTAGGGTTTAGGGAATTCAGATACGGTTTTGAGGCCCAGTAGAATGATTGTACTTATAATATCGGGAACCCCCAAAATAGTATTGGTAATAATTCAGGTCCCTATATTACCTGCTTTCCTGGGCTTTAAAGTTTGGCCCTGGGTGCGGCATTTCGGGGGTACCTTATCATGGGCATCCTAGAGTTGAGGGTCCAAGTTATCGTTGTACTATGGCTATAGGGAGGATACGCCGGTCGACTGAGGAAGTTGGGGATTCGTGAGACTCTTGGGAGTGGCGGCTTGCAGTTTTCGGACTTAATGGGCTCCGTCTTCTTGCAAGAAGTCTGCAAGCTATCCCTAACGTTCCAGGTATCTACAAGAGAGGGTACAAGAGCCCCTAATACCCTATATCGTAGGTACCTGGAGGGTTAGGGTATGGTAGGGTTTAGGGTTTAGGGACTCTCTCGGCGTAGACTGGGTAATTGGAGTTGTCATGTGAGTTCTCTCGCGCCACAGAAACGTTCACAGCTCAGACCTTTTGCACTCAGGCGTGGGCCTTGTCTGTCAGCTCCGGAGTCACGGGCTCCAAGTTGGAGGCTATCCTGCTGGTTCCAAGGCTTCCGAATTCCAATGTGGAGGCCCCGCAAAATGAGGAAAAAAGTGGCCATGGTTTCGAGTTCATCTCGGAAGCTGAGTTGATGAGTAACTTCGTGCCACCGGGAGCACCGACACAGAGGAAGCCTGAGGCCGGAAAAACGAAGATTGCAAGGACAGCTGTCTTGGTGAACTGTGGGGGTGGAAGCCTCGGCAGTGAAAGAGCATTCTGTAGTCGAGGATGTCGGAACAAGCATATCCCTTGTAAAGCTGCAGAGGCATTCTCTTCAGTCAGCCTTATACCAGAAGTAGAAATCAGCAGCAAAAGTCAGATCCAGAGTCTGAAACACTGCAGGCTACGACGGGCACTACTTCAAACTTCAAGCGATCCGAAACGGCAATTATACCCGAAACCCTAGACCGTGCCAGCTGGAGGGACATTTTTGGGGAACCGGCCTCGCCAGGCTGTTTCGGGAGGTGGGCGGCGAAAGGGTCCGGGTCCGCGCTCGCGGCATCTGCGTAAGATTCCGCGCATTTTGCAGTGTGGGGGAAGGCCAGAAATCCCAGATTCAAGACATGAGAGTTTCAGAAAATAGGGGACCCTGATATAGGACCCTAAATAATAGGATCCTCCTTATTATAAGGACCCCTAAATAGGGTACCCTAGTTTTCTGAAACTCCCACATAAGCCCCGAAGCACTAGCTCTAAACTGAAGGAACTTGGGGCTCCCGGCTTGGCGGCTTGGGGGTAGGGATTCATGGGGTTTGCGATATGGGTAGTTGTCAAAATTATGGTCCCTTTTGGGGTACCCTAAGCATTATAATGAGGACCCAAAAAGGGACCCTAATTTTGACAACCACCCATATGGAAAAGAAGCATGAATTCAGTGGTGCGGATACGAGAACATAGAAAAGCTCTGTGCTCCAAATCACCATGGGACATGACCTGACTTTGCAAGGTGCGACTCCTTCGGGTCAACATAGGGCCTTAATAATGAGAATAGGGTTTGGGGGGGTATATTATATAATAACTAACTATAATAAGGGACCCCCAAAATAGTGTAGTTCCTTCGGCTCGAACGAGAGTCGTCGCCGGAGCTTGGTCTCGCACCTCCGGCGATCCGGGATCCAAGTTGGAGGCAATCCTGACAGGCTTGTCTCACCCTGGGGCTCCAAGAAGCCCAAAGTAGGTACTATTTACAGACTTTAGACCCCAAAGTAGGCTCTATTTGTATACTTGGAGCACGTTTTATCGTCGACTTAGGAATGTAATTACTTGGCTGAAGTGCTGCCGTGTGTGGATGCCGCGAGAAGTGTTGACACCCAGACGCAACATACGAACGAAAACGAACAATGCACGGCAGAGCGCACGGATGGATGCATGTGGGACTTTTTCCCAAAATGTGGGCGACTGATGCTGACGAGTTTTCCACTTTCCCTTCCCTTAATCAATCTGCCATATCTACGTATCGACATGATTGCAAATTATGTGGCGTTCACAACCGGTACAAGTTGGAAGCTTGGGAGATCAACACAGTGAATGCAATAGCAATAGCAGCGAGATGGGAGTTTCCGAAAATAGGGGTACCTTATTTTGGGGGTCCTTATAATAAGGATCCTACTATTTAAGGTGCTATATTAGGGTCCCCTGTTTTTGGAAACCCCCAGATAGAGAGACAGAGAGACAGACGTATAGGTAGACAGCTAGCCTCCCAACTGCCCTGCTGGCCATGGCCTAAACCCTAAACCCTAAACCCTAAACCCTGAACCCTAAACCCTAAACCCCTAAACCCTAAACCCTAAACCCTAAACCCTGAACCCTGAACCCTAAACACACAACGACAATCCTTTGCAAGTGGTCGTCCGGCCTTGCCAGGCTGGGCCGCGAGGTGGGCGGAGGGGTCGAGGCATCCTGTCAAGTGGGGTTTAGGGCTTCGGGTTTAGGGTTCAGGGTGTAGGGTTTAGGGTTCAGGGTTTAGGGTTCAGGATTTAGGGTTTAGGGTTGTAGCAATTCAAGTTCATACTGGGTACTTGGACCCTCAGGGGTTGTCCCGAGCATGACATACTAAACATATTATAGGGGGAAAAAATATTTTTTCCCCTATAATATGTTTAGTAATGGCATTGGCCTTTCCGCCAGATTCAGGGTTTCTAGCTCTTCAAAGGTCGGCGGCTTGGGATTCAAGGAGTCGGGGGGGTTCTGTGGCTGCGAGTGTGCCAGGCACCACGCTTAGGAAGCTTGGAGAGTGCGAAATTCCAGAACCTTACCAATGCAACGATGGACCCTGGGAAGCTACCTAATTCAGGAACTATCACAATAAAAAAGATAAGATAACTTCCATGCTACTACCACTACTACTCCTCCTGTTGCTGCTGCTACTGCTGCTGCTGGTACCGGTGCTAGGCCTCCTCTTACTCCTGCTCCTCCTCCTGCTAAGTACTACTACTGCTACCACCACCACCAGGACGACGACTACTAACGATGAAAAAACAGGGTTTGTTTTCTGCAAACGGACGTTGCAAACCACTGTTTTGGTGCTCTGAGTGCGTCATTCCATCTGCCATAACAATCTGCTCCTGAAAATGACAACTTAGACAAGTGTAGATCGTTTTGGTCGAGTACCAGGCTATGGAGCCTAGGTTAAATCGACCACGGCGCTTGACAAGTTGGTTGTTGTCAAACGGACTCGAGTAAGAAAGAGGCTAGTCCACAGCACTATGTTTCGTTAAATTAAACATACGGCAGCATGATTTATGTTCCTGTAATTCCCACTGACTATGCACCACCCCCGTTTCCAACTGTGTTGCGTCTGACACCACTCCTTCAATCCACAACGGCTGGCTCGCGAACAGCTGTCTTGTTACAACATGATGCAGCATGGTACCAATCATCAAAGCGATTTCATGTGATTCATGTGAATGTTCGTTATACCTGCCCATTTCAACCTTACATATAATATGATGTGGTACACCGCAGCCTTTGAACATTCAATGAAAAGACTCACTGTTGAAATTTGCAGTCCCGGAACACCACATTGCGATACATCAAGGCCAGCCGAGACAAAATGGCCTCGCCCTCAAGATCGGCAAGCCGCTGTCGCATGCGCTGAAGCTTTGCATTGGCCTCCTCCGTGCGGCTGCCGGCTTCGCGAATGAGGGCGTGTGCCGGGTTTTCGAACGCCGAGTCTTCGTTCTCGCAGCAACATGACTTCGAGGGCGTTTAGCCTAGCGTGCACTCTTGTAAAGTCAGGGTGTTCCGCTTCCGGATTTACGGTCCAGACATGCTTGGATTTGAGAGCCTGGGGTTGAGGCTTGGGCTCTCAGGAGGTCGTTCAAAGGCGGCTGCCACGTGCAAGGGATAAGCACGGGTCGAACTTGTGTCTGCAGACTTCGCAAACTGCTCGGACGCCAGCAGTCCTCTTCCCATCAGTGCTACGGTCTTAAACCACAGCACATATCACACATGCTAGGCTTCTTCGGTGCCTGAGCCGTCTCCCAACACACACCTACAACTACTCTCGAAAGAACTCAGTGTTGATTGAAGTCTCAGTTGCTGGCGTATGGAGTCGCTCCATCTTCCATTGCCCCGAAACTGAACACCCAGCAGATCCAGGCGCTGGGCAATTAAGATGGAGGCGCATCCTTAAGGGTTTAGGGTTTAGGGTTTAGTGTTTAGGGCCCTATAAACCCTAAACCCTAAACCGTAAGGGCTTAGGGTTTAGGGTTCCAGAAACTGCTCCTAAAGTTGAAACAATGTTTCTTCTGAAGCTCCTTGCCCGGAATCACCCGAACGGACCAGAAACCAAAGACCTCAAGACAGCTGTCCAGCCTGTGCACGCGAGACGGGAGGACACAGAGGCTCCATCTCCATACCCAAAGCCTTTTCACGAGGGGGGTGGGGCGGGTTTAGGGTTTAGGGTTTAAGAGTATTCGAACCACACGTTATCCGTTATCGAACTTAGTATGCTCAGTTGGCGGGAATCACGTCGCAGACCAAAACAAGTTAGCGAACAAGCCTTCCTCAGAAGGCTTCAAATTCGGTTTAGTACTCTGCACCCTTCGTACATATTCAATTATTCAAGTACATCCTGTGAGCATGTCAGACGTTCGCTTGACAAAACAGTGGCTAAGCTCCTCCAGCCTCCTCTTCGGAGTATCTCACCTCCACGACCGATTTAGATTCCCTGTAGCTATGGCTTTCCTTTCTATCCGTCAACACCTGTCCAGAGACAGACTCCCAACTCCAGACAAAGCTGATCGCAGGCCTCGGCCTCCCGCCGTGCAGCGATGCGCGTGCCGCTGGCGACGCTGGTGCGGTGGCGGAGGCCTCGCAAGTGTGATACAAGAGCCGAGCTCTAGTCACTCTAGTCGGTTGTTGTTTTCCCAAGTAGTTAGGAGCCCTCTCAGATTTCCAAGTAAAGTTCACCAGCAGGCGGCGGAGGCTACTGGTCCTGTGGCATATGAAAAAGTTGCATCCATGCCGAATATCGCACAATAGGTTGCTGTCCTGTCCTTGATATGCTATGACTACTGTGCATTACCATGATATGAACAACCTGCCAACCCTATAGGTTATACTACGCTACTTATATGGATAACACAGGGGAACACGACTCGCAGGTTTCGGAACAACGTGGCATTTGAGACGTCGGGCTTGTGAGCAACGCGCACACGACAAAGGGCTCCTGATCGCTAAAACAAGCACCACCAAGTACAATCCTGGCTTGGAGATGCCATGACTGAATACCTTCGTAGTCATGACGGCAGCCACTTTCTGCTTGGAGAACCCGGCTTCCGATCTCATCGAGAAGGTCGTCCACCATTGTTGATAGCCTGACAAAGGCAGGACATGGCAATACGGAAGTGCAGAACCCTCCAGTTCACTCGCAACTCTACAGAGTCTTTAGATCAGGAGTTGCTGGGTTCTTGTTAAGGGATTTAATTTAAGTTACCATAATAAGGAAACCTGTGTTACCTATACCATGAGCACTTCTGCACTTCTGCGCTCAACTTCGCGAACGCGTCGCAGCTACACACCCTCTCAACACCAGGAGGCCGAACTCGAGATCCATGTTTCCAGATATCCCGTTGCTGTGCAAGCAAACCTGTTTCGGGTTTAGGGTTTAGGGTTTAGGGTTTTCGAGCAGGTGTCAGGGTTTCATTGCAATCATCAACATCCTTCTGGAAACAGAATAATAAAACAGTTCTGGGCGACCGGTCCATGCACCACTGGCTTTAAACTCATCGTGACCCAAGCAGATCCTTGTGACATGACGCCTCTATTCCACTTAATCCGGCTGCCCTCCTCGATTCGCTGTCATGTCCGCAACTATGCCCTGCCTATTCGGGTCCAGCATGTGCTGTTGCACAGTGAGCTGCTGGACATGCTGCCTGAATGTTTTGCGGGATTGAGCTGTCAACGAACTAGCAGGGCACCTTCACCAAAGCCCTGATTTCCTGCATGCTGTCTCGGGGACCGCGTGCTTCAACAAAAGACCGCTTTGTTACAGAGAAATGTTCATTCCTCGCTGGTCTGAAAGAAACGGATTCTGGACCGGGCCTGAGGGCTTGCGTGGTTTTGCCCGCAACCCAGAAACAAAGGCCGGTCAAGGGGAGGGTGTTGTGGCTTCATGTGTTGGGGTTTGAATGCCAGTGCGCTTCGAGGTCTTGGAAGGCTTTCGGATATAAGGGTGTAGTCCTAAGCACTTAAACGGTCCTAATTAAGAGACAGTACAAGGTGTGGTACTGCTCTCAGCTTGAGCTTCAAGTCCTCGCACCCCAAAGATCTGCGCCTGGCAAGCACCCCGATGAAACGCAAACTTTATTTATGGAAAACACGACTGCGCACAGCTGTAACGATCGTCTCATTTGTGAACATACCTTGCCGCTTATCTGTCAGTACACACCCCCACATGCAAATAAGTATGCATGCATGCATGCATGGATGTATGTATGTATGTATGTATGCATGTATGCATGTATGCATGTATGTAAATATGTATGTATGTATGTATGTATGTATGTACGTATTTACGTATGTATGTATGTCTTTATGTATGTATGTATGTATGTATGTATGCATGCATGTATGTGCAGGTCTGTATGCGTACATACACAAGCATCTACACAAAGCATACTTAATGATGGATGCTATACCTTTGCTAACCTGTTCATGGTGGGGCTGCGTCTCGCGGCGAGCCGAACATACAACTAAGTCTGCCTATGCATTGGTAACACTACACCAACGAAAGCCCCACCTTGCCCACCACTTTATGTGACCAGTGGGATCCCTTGTATCCACGAAGGCCGCAAATCACAAGAAGGCTCAGGATGCAGCTGCTGCAGGGATTTCAATGCCATCCGGTGCTCCTCCCGCCTAACCGGCGACAGACTCCCGGGAAGTACTGGCTTTCGCTTGCATTCTGCGGGGTGGTCGTCGTCTTCATGCTAGAGCTCCTAGACACAAGCATGACCACTCTTACACCGACTGTCATCGTGCAACGAATGGGATGTTCCGGGCTGCGGGTATGGGCGAAGGACTCTAAGCCTAGGGCTTGAACTTGGATCCGAGGGAGTCCCCCCTCATCCTTTCGCAGTCTCTACAAGCCTGGGTCTAATTCAGCAGCGGCATGCAAAAGGCTCGGGTGGCAAACTGTGTATAAGTTTGGTTCAAGGTAACGCGACAGCAGCCTCCGTTGATCCTAGGAGTAGATGCTCCAAGCTGGCAGCAACGCCCTGGCTGCAGTACTCATTACAGGATAATAAAGACTGAGTTGTACTAATCATAAAAACACAGGGTAATTATACAAGAAAATTACTCATCATCATCTGCTTCCTTGGAACTCTGCTCCACAGCGACCTCTCACGAACGGAGTCTGGCTGGCGAGACGCAAGTTGTCGAGGTGCTGCTTGTGGAGGATTCCCCTGCCAAGAGTATGGCTGCTTAGGGCGACGTGTGGGGGGTTTGCTTCAGGGACAAGAGGTCTGCACTCGACACGTTGCCCTAAACCCTATAAACCCTAAAAACTAAAAACCCTAAACCCTAAAGTGCTTCGTAGCTTTGCTTGGGCCTCTTGCCTTCTGAGGCTTCAATGCAGGTAGCTTCATGCAGGCTGAGCTCCGGCAACGGGGGAAGAAAATCACGACAGAATGGTCCCAGGAAAATAAATGCCAACAGTGATGGCAGCAAGTGAAACTTCTGCATTATCAGGCCGCATTCCGAGAAACGTTAAAAGAAATACAGCCTCAAGCGCCCGGAGGTTTTGCAGAAGCTACGGCATACGGCAGTAATACATTGCGGAAGTTAGGAGTGGTGACCGGTGCTCATGCTGTCAGGATGGGGAGGACCCGGCAACCGCCTGCCGCGCACCCCAAAACCTTAAACCCAAAACCTCGTCCCGCTTCTCTGGGCTTCCGGACTGCTTCCGCCGCGCAGATGCAAGGTCTCGCGCACCGCTGCGGGCTTCATCCAGCTGCCTGCGCCTGACTCCGATAGGGGGTGGGCTTCGGGCATGGCTGCAAATTACGGCTAAGGGCTCCAAGAGAGCCTTAAAGCACATCTCCCATCGGACCCTATATTCCCTGAGTCGCTCGTCATGTAAAGCCCCGAAACTCCAGACAGCTCCGATGCTCAGTGGTATACATATATACTTATATATATATATATATATATGTACACACACATTTTTTACACACCATCTATATATATATATACACTACATATACCATACATACTATGTAAACTATCATGTCTACTATATACTCTATATGCTGTGGTGGCTGGGTCTCGCACAGCTCCTTGGCATCCTTCGGCTCCGCATCGGCCTCTCTGCGAGAAGCTTGCACTCAGCATCCCAAACCCAAGGAAGCACAGCCACGGTTTAGGGTTTAGGGTTTAGGGTTGAGGGTTTAGGGTTTAGGGGTTTAGGGTTTAGGGTTTAGGGTTTAGGGGTTTAGGGTTTAGGGAAGAAGGGCGGCAGAACAAAAACTACATAGGACAACATCTACCATAAAAGCGCGCATGAATTTTCCAGCGCGTGTGTGTGTGTGTGTGCCTGTTGCATCGGACACTAATACCCGGTCTGGTCAACCTTATGCCGCATATATTTCATCGGTTCATCATTGCGAATCAGTGGCCTTGAGCTCCCAACCGTATGGCACATCTAGTGCTATCATAAAACCACCGGAAGAAGAGATAGATTGATCAGATAAACAAGAACTGGCAACCGGCTCTGACCGGGAAGCCTATGTCTGCTCGACATGTGCGCATGCATGTGTGTGTGTGTGCGTCAGAGTGAGTGAGTCAGTATATCAGTGTTAGAGAGAGAGAGAGAGAGAGAACGGAGAGAGAGAGAGAGACCATATTATGACATAATATATTATTCATAGTGATAATGCTGAAATAATATATGCATGGCAGATTCGAGGGTTTCTAGAAGTCGGCCGGATTTTGTTGGTAGCTTGTGGCCTGAAGGCTGATCTACGACTTATTTTCGGTTTAGGGTTTAGGGTTACACGTAGATAACTTGCGATGTTCCGATATCCGGCCTCGCTCTGCGCTTTCATCCTGCACCAGGTGCCACGTGGCTGCAACTGTCTCTCGTGTATCGCTTGTGTTCTGGATTTCGCAGGCTTCGAGGGTGGAAGGCAGCGCCTATCCGTTCAATGCATGCCACATTGGCTCGGACAGGCACTCTCTCCTTCTATGGCCGTATCGCTGTCCTCCCAAGCAAAAAAAGAAACCTCTTCAGCTGCTGACGCACCAAAGACACGAGAACCTACCGGGTGGAGGCGGGAGCCTTCTCAGACTCAAACCCCCTCTCCCCAAAAGACCCCCAACGACCCTACAAAACCTAAACCCTAACAAGCCTCACCTCCTTAGTTCCTCATCCCGCCCTGCAGGGCCTCTGCTCCTCCTTCTCGCTGAGCTCTTCCCGGAGTTCCTCTTCGCGGTCTTCGCCGCGGAAGTTTTGCTTGTTAACTGGGATAGTCATTCTTAGATACTGGGTATAATTATTAAGGAATGAAAGGGATTTGCGGAGGAGTATGCAACGGCTTAAAGGGCTTAGACTTTGGGGTTTGTACCCAGGCAAGGGTCTAGGCTATACTAAGTATAGTATCCGTGTAACAGCGTCTGTGCTTCGGGACTTAGAAGTTTCCACTTCAGTCATATATCAATGTACATGGAACATCACAGGAGTTTGTAGTATACTATAGTACACTACTGTAGTTGCGGTTGTTTGTAGGCATTGTCGAATAGTGCTATGCTGCTATACATCACAAGCTGCTTCTGCGTTGAAGGTGATCTGGGGATTTGGAGAGGACATGCGAGTTGGCCTTCGCCTTCGCGAGAAATGGAAAGGGTGCATCAGGTGTCTGGGCCCACAACCGAAAACTCTGAAGGCTCCACTGCTAGCCAGCAAACCAATCCCAAAGCTGGCACTGGTATACCTATACCGTCATTAATCATAACCTATCATAAACCATAATCTGCTATATTATGCCTCAAAAAGATTCACGACCAGCTATTATAGTTGAGCTGAAGGTTTGGGCACTCCACCACATCGAGCTACAATGCCGAAGCCTGGTTCTCGAAGGCGACGGCTGCAACCCTCTTCGGTGTTTTCTGGCTTGGGGTTTACAGTTGATAGGTTTTGTCTCTGAAAAACTAGGGTAATTCAGGGTTCTGGGTTTTAAGATGCCCAACTCCCGCGACAAGCTCTTCCTATCTCCTGCCCTCAGACCCTCGGGCGTACACGTCCTACGTAGCAGGGCCAAGAGCAAACGGAAACCGCAGGTAGGGCGAAGCCCCGACGGCAAACCCGGAATCCTGCCCTGAAGCCCGGTCTTGAATCCGCTTGAGACGGCCATTTTTGAGGCCTTCATGTACTAGTGGCTTAGGTTTAGGGTTTTGGGGCCTATGTGTACCCTACAATGCGTCCCCAGATGTGGGGGTTTCCGAAAATAGGGGACCCTAATATAGTACCCTAAATAATAGGATCCTTACTATAAGGACCCCAAAATAAGGTACCCAAATTTTCGGAAAGTCCCATGTCGGGCTCCTGAAGCTCCAGGGTCAGCTTCAGGTGAGTCTGCTGCTGCTGCTGGGCCTGGTGCTGTACGTCGATGTTATTTGTGAGAGACAGACAGATAGATATAAAGATAGATAGATGGATCGGTAGACCGATAGATCGATAGATAGATAGATAGATAGATAGATAGATAAATAAATCGACAGGGATAGGTACACAGACATGTCACATGTTAGACTATGCTGTGCACCGTCGATGATGCATCGTGAACTCTGCACCGTTCAGTTGTCGGCATGCTGCGACGAGCCCGAATCTCCAACTGACATCTTTACGATGTGTGCGATCGGCAAAATGCAGTGCTGCATGGCCCATGCAGCACATTGAGAAGGACAGCTGGAACCCGACATCGTACACAGATTGGGCATTAACAAGGGCAACATCGAATCCACAACACTTGGACCGCCGTAGATGAAGCACAACCGTGCCGTTGTCACACTCAATGCATGTCACCACGCAGACATTCGTGCCAAGGGTCCGTAGTCGCTTGGGTATATATTCGTTTGTGTCTTGGAACCATTTGCATTTGCACACTAAAGTCCCTAAGGAGTCATCTATGACGCCTCCCAACGCTCACTGTCTGCACTGAATCACTGGCTCCCTCCATTTCTCGCTGTTGCTTTCCTCCGAGGCTCGCTCTCATTCTCTCTCTTTGGGTATCTTGCTCTCCTGCTTGCTTCTCTGCGGGAATAAGCGGCACATAAGCTTAGGCTAAAGTCCCTGAAGAGATCACCAAACTTGGTTTCTCTGCATCTCCAAGGAGCCTCCTTGAAAGCTTCACTCCTGCATCAACGAGAGGGGTCTAGGGCTTAGGAGATACGTCTGGGGTTGGTTGTTGCTTCCCACGGCCGCGCCTCTACACAATATGGCATTATGGCATTATGTAGCCGATAGTCATAGTCGATGAAAGACCATGTACCATGCCGCTTTCTTACAAAGCTCATGGGTCCTAGCCTTGTCTGGCACGCGCCCTGCGCCTGCCTTAAAGTGCTTAAAGATCCTCTTATGCGACATATTATAGCCATGGCTATCAGAGACTATTCTCGAAATGTATATTGGTACAGCATAGTTATTTCGGTGTGTTGTGCTGTATCGTACATCGTATGGAAACCCTCTTCTGCATGAAGCCGGGGAAGTTCTGAGAACTCTGAGTGAAGCCATGGGATCTCGAGAAGGATCTAAACGAAGCCGCACGGATTGAATCTTTCCCGCGACCTCTCTTGGATTCGCACCCAGGTTTTGGGTTCAGGGATTAGAACTTGAGTTGAGGCTTTAGCATGTAGGGATGCGTAGGGTTTATAGGGTTTTGAATGTGGGGTCCAGGCTTGGCAGACTTTGACTTTTCCCTCACTGCCAGGATGAGACGAGACAATTAATTGGCATCGTGACGTAGCAACTTCGAATCCGAGCACTACCTACTGTAGAGTCTTAATGGTGTGCATGACACAGCAGCCACATCGAGCATAGCCGATCTCAACAAGAAACTGAGGGACTGCTCCGGCGACTAAAGCACATGCTACCAGCAAAAGCAATGACCTTAACATGTGTCGCATGGCCCAGTCTGCAAAAGTAACATACTGACGGAATCACGACTCGGACGTGCCTTGATCAGGACAAGCTGCAATGCTGGATGTTCGCAGACGCACAGACTTCAACCATTCGCAGCCCCTCCCTCGAAATGAATCCGAAATTCATCCGCCGGAGAGAACTCGTCTTCAGGAGCAATCGAACAACATGCGATTCTCAAACTGCCAAAATCAACCGCAGACTCAGATTCACTTGCTCTGGCCTTTCCGCGGAGGGAAGCGAGACACTAGTTAAACCAGACCATCAGAGGCCGCCCAAACGTACCCAAGCTCTAGATCCATGACTTCACGCTGCCCTACAAACCCGAAGCCCTCAACCCCAAGCCTACAGCCATTTACGCAACTCAATTACATTCCTGACTACCCATAGGCCCTAAAGTAGTTCCTGTTTGGGGTTCATATATAGAACCCTATAAGGTAACCCCAAAAAGGAACTACTAGGGGGCCTATGGGTAAGCCCGAAAATCCTGAAGGCGACACTCCAACTCCGATCCCCCGCAGGGCGCCTCTGCTCCTGCAGAACGTGGAGCTCCGTTCTGCATGCCTGGTTTGAGCTTCGTCCTCTACTGTGATAGATATAATATATATATATATACATACATACATATAATATGTATAGTCCATTCTTGCGTTCGTGCTCAGGGGGTGTTGTTTAGGGTTTGGGAGTGCATGGGGCTTGCTTCGTTTTGGGCACTCTTGTCCGCCTGCGGAGCATCGAGAGGGCCTAAGCCTAAGCCTTGGGCTTAGGGCTTTAAGGCTTTTGGGGTTCATGGCAGTGCTTGACGACTCGCGGCTTCTGAGGTCTGGGCTTGCTTGATTTAAAAGCTTCATCGGATGGGCGCCAGGTTTGGGGTTCTAGGATGTTCTATGGCCATTCTAGGGTTCAGGCTCATTCGGCCCGTGCATCGCAAAGCTTCTGCAAGCTTCCTTAAGCACCAGCAACAAACTCTTCTAGCACCCCCTAAACCCTAAACCCCTCCTTTTCGGCAAGTCCCGAAACCCTTTTAGGGTTTAGGGCTCTCGGTAAGTTTGGAAGGAGCATCCGAAAGCCATCAAGCGCCCACCAACCGAGCCCTGGACCCCGAAACTCCAGAGCCTGGGCCCCTAAAAGCCCTCTGAAGCCGGCCTACTAAGGACGACCCCAACCAACGTACACCCGATGTTCTCTGCATAATATATATACACATATATATATATATACACACACACATATAGATAGATACATATATATATATAGAGAGAGGTATACAATATTATATTATATACACATATATTACAGATATTGTATTCCCAATCATGGAAAGCTTATGGACGCCTGCGCTGCCTTCCCAAAAAGGAGGGACGAAGCAGAAAGCCTATTAAACGAGCGGACGTCCGACCTGGAGTTCCGCTGCAAGCGCCTCCTGCCTGTGACGATGCTCATGGACCTGTCCATCTGGGAGGGATTACTATAGGGGCCTTAATAGTTAGAATAGGGTTTTGGGGCCCATTATATACTGTAATTATCATAAGGAACCTGTCAATCTGGGTGGTTGTATAAGTTAGGTTCCCTTTTGGGGTCCTTTTTATAAGGGTGCCGTACTTTATTGGGGACGGAAAAAGGGTTTTAGGGTTTAGGGAGCTACTCATCTAGGAGGGATTATAGGGTTCAGGGAATCTTCAACCCTAGCCCCTGAACCCTAAACCCGGAGGGTCGGACCCTGAACCGCGGAGATTTTCAGCCTTGAGGTTTCGGGACTAGGCGAAAGCGTATTAGGAGCCATGCTTTGGTCATAATCGCCCCAACAGACGAACAAAAAGCACTCGAGCACTTCAAGCAAAGGAGCTCAAAGGGTCAAGAACCCATGAGGTTGACCCCTCCCCCTCAAAAACGGCCGATCAGTGCCTCAGAGGACGCGCTCCTCTGCTGGTGCTCTGCCTGCAAGTGCAGCTAGGATGGGTGTAAATTTCTGAATGTACGAACTTACCACCATGACTAGCGGATGCAGGAACGAACGAACGAAGAAATGACGGAGCAAACCTCGCATGCATACGTACATGCATCCATCCACCGATTCATGACACACCATGCACACAGGCATGCATGCATACGTGCATGCATGAGTGAATGCATACATACACGCAGTACAAGCGCACATACGTAACTACACTGCATGCATGCATACACACGCACACACACACACACATATATATATAAGATAAACAACCTAGTTAATAAGTATCTCAGTATATCTGTATATACATAAGCATGCCCACACACATGCACATGCGTGTGCACACATACATACGTACCTTGGTGCGTACATACATCCATACATACATGCATACATACATACATGCACTTAGGTACATTACATTACATTCCGTTCCATATTCCGCTCCATTCCATTCCATTCCGATGCGGTGCGATACACTACAACACATTACAGCTCAGCACATTACAATACACTAATTTAAAGTACCTTACACTACCTTACATCACATACATGCATACATACTTACATGTCTGTCCGTCGGTCTGTTTGTTTGTCTAGCTATCTATCTATCTATCTATCTGTTCTCATCTACCTATTTACCCATCTATCTATCTATCTATCTATCTATCGATGCTATCGGTCAATCGATCGATCGGTCTACCTATCTGTCTGTCTTTCCATCTATCTATTTACCGATCAGTGTGCATGTGTATATAGTATACATGCATACAGATATACGGCCAAATGTACAGACCCCCGTGCCTGGCTTAACCGTAACCTTGAACTAACCTTACGACATTTGGCCTGTTGCTTGGCTTCGCCATGGGCACTGCACTGCTGTTGTAGCTCACTCCTCGGAAGCATTGTCGCTTCTGACGACACTTTGCCATCATGCCCTCATCATCGGGATCCACAGCACATCGGTAGTTGCAGGAAGCCAAACGAGTTCTAGAAGATCCATGGAACCTGTGCAAGCAAGCCGTAAGACACTGGAAACCTGAGAAGTGATGTCCTTCAGTGTATATCAACGACGTGATTCAAAAGCAGTGCCGGTTCCAGCAAGCACTAGCTCACTAGCTGATGGGAATCACCAGGTCCCACAAACCCCACAACAGCCCAAACCACAAACTCCAAACCGCTGAATCCTAACCCACAGCCTGCATACCCTAAACCCTAAACCCTAAACCCTAAACCCTAAACCCTAGTCCCCTAAATCCCCCTGCAGGCAGTCCAAAGCTTGCTGCGGTCTTCTTCCAGAAACTCTTTCTGCTGCCTCAGCTCCTGTGAGACGGCAGAAAACAGGTCGGTGTGTGAGGGCTGGGACCTTCTCAAAAGCTGTGGCTTGGGCATTCAGAACATCCTACAAAGTTTGCAGCCTTTCGCGCGTCAACCGTAACACGTGCATGCTTAGAGGACACATGTCGCTGTCAGGTTCGTGCTACCAGAAAGGCCACGCCAA